ACAATTTTTGCAAAGCATGCATGCACAAAACACTCATCATTTTTAAAGAATCCTTATGTCTTATTTTGCCGAAAAGAATACTTTTGTTTTATATTTGGCATCTGCAAGTGCATCTCTCTGAAAAAAAGCTTTTAATATTGGTTTTATTAGTGTACAAACAGGTTCTCGGTCCCTATGTTATTGATTCTGATAGCGGGCAGGCCTATGTACAGTCTATACCTTGCGAGAACTGAATTTTTGACAGGCCGTAGATAATTCGAAATTTGTAGAGTTATTATTCAGCAGCTAAAAACTTGGGTCGATAGTGTGTTTACTGTGATAAATTATTATGCTAGTACATGTATATAAAGTCGCGTTTAGCACTCCCTTTCTTCCACGTCGGACACGTGTGACACTGACAAGTAACCCATACCAATGCAGGAAGTAATTTATAAACCACGATAATCCGGTTGATGATGGTTTGGTTTAATAGGGGAAAATCCTCGATATTATTGTAATGGAGGGTCATAATTGACACTACGTATAAAGGATTAGACTAATAGTATAGGGCTATAGGCTACGTTTCCGAATGATGTGACATTCAACTTCAAGGAACATATACCTACAGACATACTTTGGCCTAACTTGTCAAAGTGTATCTGAGATTTACATGAGGTTCTCTTGCTACATTTTCAATCCAGCTAAGTAAAATCATGGATTCCTTCCTCCACGGTAAAATGAAGCTCAGTTAAGATTGCTCTTTCCCTGACCCGAAAGCATGGTAACTCAATTTTTTTGTTGACAGAGTAGGTATGATGTACATGTTCAATACACGTTGCATAAGCGTATAGTGAAAAACCCGCCCGGCTCAGTGGATGCATGGAGTGTTTCCTACCTCCACGGTGGTTGGGTGGAGTTTATTATGTTGAGATGAAGGGTTGCACTATATTATGAGGTTTTGCAACCCCCTCCCCAAATACAGGTTAATGCACAGATCTGTTTTCTCATCGACTGACTGCAATAATTGGCGTAATGAGCAAAGCTCAATATAATCCGTTCATTGTATACTGCATGTTTCTTTTTCAATCCACCTCCCAAGAAAAAAATCCGGCGACAGATATATAGTTACTAACTTGCATTGCTAAGCATGGCTCCCAGTCCCAGCAACTTCAGATTTTAATGCTACCATAACTTTGATTTGTGATAAGTCTCTCTAAAATTTTTAATGGTTTAAGACAATAAAAGTTTATGTATTTGTTTTGGTGGAAACCAAAAGATGCACACACTCGCAAGCAATGAAAACCACTAATTACTTTGTGAATATATGTGTATATCGTGGCAATGTGCCTTATATATGACGCATGTATACACTGCATGCCGAAAGTTCCACAAACTCTTTCGAATGGTCACCCATTCAAAGTATTTCCCTAAGAATAGTGAAGTTATTTTTGTAGGAGAGAGTGTTCTTTTGTCCCAATTGTGTTCTTGGATCTGGGCCGTTTTGAACGCCCCTGTGCGGGCACAACTAGCTATGCCCGGCATGCTACTCTGGTCCAGCAACAAAAAGAAAACCTGACAATTATGCAAAACCACGATGGAGTGTAAATCCGGTCCATCGGTACCATTCAAAGTGTACCATTCATAGAGCATGCGCCCCGTAATCCTTTAGTCAAGTCGAGAAATGTTCGGCCAGCGCCCAAGAATGAAATAAACCCGGCCAACTGCTAGTAGTGCCACTAGATACTGCGGGGCTGCGCACCTACTGTAATGTAATCGCCTCTGTAATGTAATCACAGATTTCTTAGACCGCGTTTTCTGATCTGGTGCGGGGATCTCTTTACATTGCGCACCGCGTACCCCATTGGCCAGGGGCATTCATCGTTACTGGGGGTTTCGCATTACACCAGTCTACTGACCAATGGAAATGTGACCGAAAAAAGGGGCCAGCCTTGCGTAGTCCAGCTCAGGAATGCTTGAACCAGGGGTCAGATTGTGTGGGTAGGGCCGGCCAGCATGGCCAGTCAGTGTGAAGATTTGGGAAACCTTGACAAAGTTAGTGGATAGAATTTGAGGTCTTCCGTGGTACATGTTTCGACTCCGTACGCCAAGCTCAGGATATAACAATGTTCAAGTCCGAGTTCAAACTAGCTGGACCAGGGATGTCGTCCAAAGGTTAGTTGTAACTTTTATGTCGATCTTTAATCGAAAAAAAAATAGGAAACTGTTTACAACAGTTATTGCAAAACGAGATCCGAAACGAGGAGGGAAAGGGGGCCCGGAAAGAACAACCAGAGACATGATAGAGAAAGTACCACATGGAGCCGGGCTGAGCTTGGCGTTAGCGCGCCTTGTAGGTGAACCTCCGTTATCTGTTGTTTTAATCTATTGATTTGTTGTTATATTCTATTGAATTGTATGTTCTTGGATATCGTCACCGACACCACGAAGTAACACCCATCTACATACCAGTAAAAACTAGCAATCGGAGAAAACGGCAACTAAAGTTGAACGCCTTCTAAAACAACACTTTGCGTCAAAACGACAGAGTATTTTCAGTTGGGTTTCTCGTTGTGGACACTTGATGAATTGAATTTATTAAATCTGCTGTTTTTCACTCGTTTGTGTATTAAATAAACAAGAAATAAGAGAAAAAAGATGAGTGTTAGTTCGTGAAACCGAAAAAGCTGCGAAACTGTAAATTTTCGTTTTCACGAAGTAACACTCTTCAATGTATTTAACACGAGGAAAGTGCAACTTCAGGTCAGCGCGCGCGCGCTCATACAACTTGTTACAAGAAGAGTGTTACTTCGTGAAAACGTTTTTGCTCACTTATGAGCAGAGTGCGCGCCATGCATTGCAATGGAAAATGGAACTTGAGTGTTACTTCGTGAAAACGAAAATTGTCACTTTTGCGCAAAAGTTGCCATGGATACTTAGCGTAATTATTAAAGTAAAGCTCTTGAAGCTTTTAAACTTCGTGCAATGGTAGGCCTTGATGAATAATGTTTAAAAGTCCAAAAAACTGAAAATCGACAAAAATATGCTTTAACACGGTAGAGTGTTACTTCGTGGTGTCGGTGACGATATATTCGAAAGTTAACGGACAGCTACAGTCGCTTGTAACAAAGACTAGTGAATTATTTTGCCAGTAAAGTTTGCGTTTGGTATACATCAGTGGTGCTTAGTGGGCCATCCATGTTTAGCGCTCAATGCATGCACGTTATGTACACGTACATGTACATGTACGTGGACCCATGCAGTCCACTTCACCATAACGGGGGTTGGGTGTGACCAAGGCCACTCCATCAACGGGCATACAAAATGTTTGTTGCATGTGAAGTTGCTCGGCACCGCATGCTTAGACTTAGAGCTCGAAGCTCTAAATGTAAAAAATGAAAAAGGCATCGTGGGTTTGCTGACGTTCTAAATGATCCTACTTAATTTGTGTTCTGTGTTAGCAATGAAGCTACTGGAGTAATGTAAGGCCTGATGCACTTTGTCTTTTTTCTTTCAAGTTTTGACCAAAATGAAACTAGTAGGAGTAGTGGTAGTAGTATTACCGACTATAGTTGGATCATAAACTTAGTGCGTCTTGTGGAACAAGTTAGCATTGCAATGGATTACAATTTAACAAGGTGGTGTCCAATTTTTCACGACTTATATGTGATGTTTATGAAAGTGTTATGCATTATGTAACTTGGCTTTATTCGGCTTATTTTACATGCCAGATTTTAAGCAAAACTGCAAGGGCTAATTCTGCTCATTGATCACTGCATGCAAGCCAATATCTTGAAGTGATACAAAGGAATATGCACAATTGATGACATAAAAAAATTAAGTAAGATGACACTTGAACCCTCTTTGTCACTTTATGTCAGATGGTTAGTGGATGGATAAAACATTAAAGGAAAATTATGTAGTTTTGTTAGACAATCTTCTTTAAAGTTTAACATTCAGTTTCGATTTTCCCTAACCATTAGTGCTGTCCAGTGAAAATGCCGGGTCATATTTCAATCGGGGATCACCTTATGTGCACAATGGTTTACTTTATCAGATTATCTAAAGATTGGAATTTGTACACGATATTCCCTGCTACCTTTTTCCTTGATGTGACATGACTTTGCTAGCTAAACGCTAGAGATAAATGCCTGAGCTCACATAATATATCTGTTATCTTAACATTTGAATGCCTTCTCTGATAATAAAAAAAATCAAAATGCAATTATTTACCTAGATGCTTATCAATTATATCGTGAAGCTAAAATTGTTAATGTGTTAAAAAAGTTGATTTAAATTGTTTAGAACATAGCTCAGTTTCTCCATTAGAGATGGTATTGTGTTAAAGAACACGGCCTACACTTGTAATTTCTTTCTTACATAGTCACACCTGACCTTTACTGCCACAGATATGAATGTTGTTGCCGTTTTTGTCAAGTGTGAGGATATTAAGGGCTTGATTTCTTATGAACCATGTATGTTATGTCTGCGATGAAGAAGAAACTTGCACATTTTCAAGAGAAACAAAAACAAATTAGTTAGGCTTCAGTCGCTTGAAGGTTCATTAATTAAATGTTGAGTGATCCCCGGTCATGTCAAGTCACCAGTTTAGATAGCTACAAAGTTTCAAGTAATTTTGTGTGCAAATCAAAATTGTTAAGTACAAGACCCTTATGAAAGACTTTTGGCGAATCATTAGTAATATGCTACATATCAAATAAAATAAAAGAAGTTTTCAAAAACTGAGGGTATTGGTTAAAAAACTGTTAAACTGTGAAATAGATTTGCAGTCATTTTGTACAAGACATGAAATTTATTCAACCTTGAAATCTGGCATGTCACCCATCCAATATCAATGAAACAAAACCAAATTATTTATGACCCTTGAGGCTTCGACACTTGGCCACTTTATTGTTTGTTAGAATTCTAAATGTAACAGTAACACGAGAAACAATGAATCCTGTCTAAGCAATAACAATAAAAAGAACAGTCTTTTAATATTTTACCTGTTTCTATCTTTGCAGTGGTTGACTTAAACATAGCTGCACCGCTTGCGACAGATGAAACAGAGAACATGGACTTGGATGCTGATATTGACGCTGGTAAGTGCCTATCAACAGAAAGTTAATCGATTTAGTGCCTTCTATAAGCCAGGTCAACTGTAGAAAGTTCGTAAGGAAAAACTGGTGTGGAAGTTCTTGAACTGAAAATATGAGGATTATGTATTTTTATTTCAGACGTCTTTAAGCGTAAGCTTTCAGTTGTTATACTGCCGGAAAAAAAATTGCAAGATTTCAATTTGAATCATGGTTAGGAAACTTTTAAAAATCCGCTAGATGTAGGGGTTTGCGCAGGATTTTGCGTACAATGTAGCTAGCCAAGTTACAGCCATTTCAGGTTAGGCTTGATGCACTTGGAAAAGTACAAAAATGTCTATTATTAAATGCTCGCATGGAGGTTTCTGAGGATTCAGACAGATTTTATACTAAATGTTGAAGTTTTGGTGACTGACTGGGATATGGAATAGGGTGTGCCTAAAAACTTATCCTATAAATAACACAAAGTTTTGGATACAGTCTGCTTTTTTTCAAAAGAAGCATTTGGTGAAAATGCTCAGTCTGCCTTTACTTTTAAGACCAATTTCAAAAAGGTAAAATTATTAAGAAAAACTTAAAGCTCAGTCGCTTTGCCTTACCATAAAAATGCTTTTTCATCAGTGACCTGTTAGTTACCAAGACAAGGGCATCTCTCTCACATTTATGGAAAAAATTAAGTGATATTTTGTGGTACAAGCATAGTGCGAGAATGCTCAGAATGGAAAATTGATCAGTGTTTTAAAATTGTTAGAATTTTCTTTTTTCTGGACGATAATTTTCCACAACTTTTCTTCTAAACGGTACATTGGAATGAGCATGTAACTTTGAACAAACATCAACCTTGAATGATCCTGAAGTGTGCATATTACTGTGACGTCATGATGACCTCATCAGGTATCAAATTACATGTGATTTTAGTTGGAAAAAGTGACCAATTCTTTTTACTCTTGAACAAACGATCAATCATGATCATACTTTGTTATCCGATAGACCATTCATTAATTGATAAACATTTTTTGTCATGTACATAAAGTCACTAGACCTTTACTGATGGGGCTACTGGAAGGTGAAAGTAAGGTGAATTCAAATATAGACAGGAGCCTCAAATCAAAACAAACCAAAAGTTCTTCAAAACTGTTCATGGGATGATGATAAAACTGGGTATTAACTTGAACCCTGGTCCAAAGAAGTGGTAAATTTTGTGACCTCATGATGACATCCCCAGTTATCAAATTACAATTGATTTAAGGTCAAAATGTGACTAAATAATTTCAACTTTAACTTTGCAAATTAATGGAAATCTCTCTCATTTTTGTGTCGCCTGAACAAAGTTTGGGAGACACTTACCACTCCTAAATTCTGTATGACCGTAGACCCGTATGACCGTAGACCTATATTAAACCTAACGTACCTGAATTTATCAAAATCCGCACCCCTGTTTTTATTTCGCCGGATTCAGGATACCTTCATATTGAACAAGTTGGGGGATTTTGATGGATTCAGGACAGTAAGCCTAGCGGTAATGCAGGATTTTGATGGATTCAGGATACTTCCATATTGAGCAGTTGCGGGACTTTGATGGATTCAGGATCTTAACAGTTTAACTCCTTGGCTGTACGTTGTGTGTGTACGAGGTATATGTACCACACTGGTGGATTCTGTTGGATTCACTGGTGGATTCTGATGGACTCAGGACACCAACAAAATTGATGGATTTTGGTGGATTCAGGATACTTTATTTTAAAAGTGCTCAAGGGGTTAGGCCAAAAAAAAAGTCTCCGGTTTCTGGTATGCGCGCGCGTCGCCGTAGCCATGCGCGTCGGCAAAATGAAAAAGGTTTTTTTTTCAATAAAAGATGATGTCTCAAAACCGCCAAACTCACTGGTTTGACTGGAATTCTGCTGCTGCACAATTTTAACGTGTTTTTAGATTGGGTTATGGTCGACAATAAGCTTTATGTGGCCTCTCTGGACTGCCATACATTTGCACCAAGTTTAGTCGGGCACCATTTGCAGTCATCAGCCGACATTGGAAGCAAAAAAATCAGGTAAAAAAAAAAAAAAAGCCGCGTCACCGCACCACTTTTTGGGCAAGCTCCATACCAGAAACCGGAGACTTTTTTTTTTTGGCCTTAGGGTTAAAGTTTAGAAAAAATGTATAACTTCTACATGCTTTCATGGATTTTGATGAAAGTTGGATGCAGTGACCCTTGGTTGGGAAGACACAATTCTTCATCGGATTACTGTGGTCAAAGGTCATGTAGGGGTCATCAGAGGTCATCGTTCAAATATATGCTTCAAATGTTCCTTTGCCTACAGAATTTGATGGATTTTAATGTCACTTGGAAGTCCTTAGGTGGGGGTTCATCACAACTCTTCCAAAATTGGAGGTCAAAAGTCATGTAGGGGTCATTTGAGGTCGTTTAACCCTAACGTACCTGAATCCATCAAAATCCACCCCCCTGTTTCGGGGGATTTCGGCGGATTCAGGATACCTCCATATTGCACAAACTGGGGGATTTTGATGGATTCAGGATTGGAAGCCTAGCGGAACTGGCGGATTTTGATGGATTCAGGATACCTCTATTTTGAGCTGTTGGGGGACTTTGATGGATTCAGGATCTCGACAGTTAAACTCTTTTGCAATGTTTGTGGTCAATTAAATACTGCTGGCACGAGCCCTGCCAAGTCTGTCACATACTGTACAAGCATGCACTGTACACACATGTACCAGTACTGGGTGGATGGGAGCTTTTGACTGGGGCTATAAATAGGCCTCAGCATATAAACAATGGATTGTGTTAATAACCCATCCAGACAATGAGTACCGAAGTGTGACGTCATTTAGAACCAAAAAGTGTAGTGCAGACGAATGGAGTACGCGCGCGTGTGGGTTTACGGCATAGATATAGAATAAAAAGACTAGATCGGCAGTGCGTCCACACGCGGGGACTTGCATGGAGGGTCACGTGCTGGAGGAAAGATACAAATAATGCGCGAAAACGTGACAAACGCAATGCCATTTACGCGCATAGAGCACCATGTGCATAGCTATTAATTATGTGTGCGCATCGCGTAAATACTCGGTACGCATTTCTTGCTTCGCGCGCGTTGAGCTAGGTCACGTGCTGGAGGAAAGATACATTTAGCTCCATTACTTTACGTTAATTTGTTGCGCATCTACGAGAGACAACCTAAATGGCGGAGATTTATCGCACAGCGAATGGACGCGTGTGGACGCGCTGCCGATCTAGTCTTTTCATTCTATGGTTTACAGGCTGAAACACGCGCTAATGTCTTTCACACAAATTTTGTGCGCGAGACATATTCACTTTGGTACTCCATGCTGGGGTCGCCATGCATCAATTGGTGTATTTTGATGGATCCTATGCAACAACACACATCACAATTTTCATTGGTATGGTATCCTGAATCCGTCAAAATCCACCAGAAATTTAGGTGATGGATTTTGAAGACTCTATGGAAAAACATGCTGTATTTTTTTTTTATGCCACCATGGTATCCTGAATCCGCCAGAATCCATCAAGACTTTTGCTGGTGGATTCTGGCGGATTCAAGATACCTCCAGTATCTACACTGGGGGATTCTGATGGATTCAGGATACCAGCATTTTTTTGCATAACAAAATTGGTGGATTTTGGCGGATTCAGGATACTTTCTAGTAAAAGAGCCCCAGGAGTTAGGGTTAAAAATGCACAGAATTTGACCTTTTTTATTAAGAGGTTGTGGAATGCTGAAAGTCGTTTTGTTTTTTATATTTTTTTTATTGTAGAGTACGTAGACCCATATATATCATAATGACAAAGTCCCATTCTTTTGTAATGTGCGTTTATATGTTTATAAAACTGAAATTCATCGAGTAATTTGTTGGTCGGCGAGCGCATAATTGAAATCAACAGTGGTCGGGTTCTTCATAAAATGCGCTCAGAAAGGAATGTGTTAGAAAGGAATGCCAGACACACACAAAATGACGTCATCACCTGAAAGGGTGCCCTCTAGCGGCACATTAAATACAGTTATTAACCTTTTTAAAGCTCTGGCAGGAGCTTCTACATGTCACTTGGTGGTCGATCGGTCGGTTTGTCTGTCTGATTGTCTGTCCCGGAAAATTGACCAAAAATATTCGACCAAAAATTGACCAAATGCCATGCCATCGTCAGTAAATGCACTCTTGACGAAAGTTGTCGGAAAACCGGCGTTGTCTCTATCGATGCGCACCATTTGCATATGTCTGTCCCCATAAAATTGACCAAAAAACGAGCCCCCTAAGTTTTCCATAAAATATAACTACCAAATTTTAATTGAAAGAAAAAAGCAAACAAAAGAAATGAAATACTTATAGGTCTGACAATTCGTAAAGTCGTTAATGAAAATTTTGTAAATGGAGGCAAGGTAATGTGCGGTAATGTTATAGTCACATGGTATCAGGGTTGGCAATTTTTTTGATTTTTAAAAAAAAATCCAAAAAGATTGGATTTATTTGATTTAAATCAGACTTTTTTGATGTAAACAGATGTTTTTGATTTTTTTAACTTTCAAAATATTGATATGTCTAAATATGTGTCTAAATCTCCCCATGCACCCTCCCACCCATCACTAAGGAGTTTACAGGTTCCAATAATACCCATCATCCACAAAACTCAACAAATTGATAAATGCTTTTGAAAAAATTGTATTGAATCAGTGATTTAAACAAATACTTGATTTCTTCTACATGTAGTCTACATCATTGGTTCAATGGTACATTAATACCGAAGACACTTTAAAGGCGTATTGCTTGATTGATACAGCTGAGTTACGTTGTGTGTGGATATGAATGAAAACTTGATTTATGGTACCTGTACATGGTATACAAAAAAATACGACACTTCTCCATGGGCAAGTTGATTTCATAAAAATGCTTCTAATTTCAAACCCGGAGGCACTGATCCTTGTGTAACTTGATTGATGATGGTCCAAGGTGGAGAACAGAAATCAGGCCTTCACCTTTAATAGGTTTTATATAAATCTCAATCTAAATTTGTAGGGAGAAACGTTAGGAATAAGACTATCAATTGGGACTTTTAATACACCTTTTGATGGTTCATGTCAGCCTACACCAGCACAGTTGATTCACAATATTACTGTAAACAGATCAAGGAATGATTAAAGCAAATGTGAGTGTGCTCTCTTTAAAATTAAAAACTTTGAAGAAAAACTTTTAAACTCAGATCTTGACTTAATCAAAACAACGATTTTGTGTAATTATGCAAAACCTAAATTGAGTCAATGGTGGTGAAGTAGGGGTGTTTCAATGTATTAACAACATCTTACACTTTGTAATTAAGTGGAATCAGTTGATTTAAATGATTAAAATGACCCTTAATCAATTGATTTTGCCAAAAATAAGATTTTTACAAAAAAGTGATTTAAATCAGTGATTTTTATAAAAAAATCATTTGATTTAAATCGCGATTTAAATCAGTGATTTAAATCAATGTGATTTAAATCAGCCAACCCTGCGTGGTATATAGCGCGCTATTTTTATGGGAAATTTAGGGGGCTTATTTTGGTCAATATTCAGTGTGTGGGACGGCGGCCCGGGCTTGTCGCGTACTTGCGGACAATGATTTCATGCAAGACTTTCATGCAAGGCGGCCAGCGCTTATTTTGCAATCATGCTTGTTAACTTAAAACCACTTGTCAACATTTTACCAAATTGCTCACAGATATTCTTTGGACAACCGCAAATGACCTTGCAAGGTTTCAGAACCATGTTATCATCAGACTGGACATTATTGTTGGGAGAATTTTAAATTTATCAGTTTTTTTTTTTTTTTAAACAAGTCCATCTTTTGATCCGTGTCAATGACTATGTTCTTAGCACAAATAATGATATCCGGTACAGTGTTGACCTTGAGCATCAAATGCTGTGATGTCATCAAACCGGACATTGGATGTGTTATTAACACATGTATGCACTTAAACATTTATTGTAATATCCATATTTTCAGAAGATCTTTTTACTTCATGATGAACATGTATCCTCTCTGAACTAAATCAATGTTCAGTTTGCACATTTTTAACTGATGACGTCATCGAACTGGAGAGAACTTGTACTTGTAAACAAAATATACGTATATTTGTATATTTTTGTTTTAAAATAAAACAAATGGTTCCACTGGGAAGCCTGAATTTCATGATTTTTTTCTGTTCTGTCAAAAATATTCACATCTTATCTGGGTAGTGCCCATAAAATTAGGCTTTTTGGTCTGCCCGACCATCCTGCATTTGTAACTCAACAAAAGTAAATCTCTATTTAACTTCTATTTTTTACAGTTGAAACTCCCTTTAATAATTAGATTTCAATGTTGTAGATTACTTGTTTCAAATAGATATATAATCTTAAATTAGTCAGCGTTTGGCACATTAAATGACTGATCTTTAACCTAATTTTTGTCCGTGAGGTTTTATTACTATTATGAGAACCTTAACAGCCTGTTAAAAATGTAGACCTTTGAACTTTCACTGAACTTGTCATTTTCAAACAAGTGTGACTGCACAATAAGCTCTGGCCGTCTTGCATGAAAGTCTTGCATGAAATGATACCATTACTCACTTGGTCATGATTGTCAATTGAAATAAGGATTTCCCAAATTGTTGCAAGTCGCAAGATGCAAAATAATAGTGACCTTCATAACGCAACTGTATCCTCACTCCTATGCCCTGAAGACTCATTAAACTGACACAGGGCCAGAGGCAGGGGTGATGTATAGTGACAGGTGTTTAGAAGCCTCCTAAGTTCGTAGTGCACAAAAATACCACGTGACTATAACATTACCACACGTTATCTTGCCTCTATTCAAAAATTACTTAAAGGGAAAATACAACATTTGCAAACATCAAAAAATAAAACTACCAAATCATTTTGAAATAACTTGCTGGGCTGTTAGTGAATGACAGTGTAAAGCACCCTGTAAAATCATGGCACCTGGTATACTGTCATTTTCAAGAAAAGTGGTATTTTTGTATCAATTTCCAACGCTGATCGGCCGATCAGCGTTGGAAACAACTGGCTTTTTTTCAAATACTGGCCCCAATTGACCATCGCACTTGTTTGCAATCGATTACAAACCTATGAACGGGTACGAGCCAGCTAGACTGGTTCCCTGACCTTACAATTCCCCAATGTATGTAAACTGCTCTGTTTCTTCTTATATGGAGTCAGGGAACCAGACTACAGGAAAATGATCGTTTTTCTTGGTTTTTATTGCATTTTCGAACCCAAAACCTCAAAAAGTCAGTGTAACTATATTTGCTATATATTTCCAACCCCCAATTCCATCCATTTCTGAAAATCACAGCAAAAGCAAATGATGTATATTCCCTTTAAACAATGTTACAAATTGTTACAAACAATTTTTGTCAAGTATTTAATGTATTTTTTTTTTTGGACGGTTACAATTTGGTACTTACAGTTTGATGGGTGAGTTAAGGGGTTCGTTTTCCGTCATTTTTTTTGGGGGGGAGGGACCGACAGACCACCCGAGTGACTTGTAGAAGCTCAGTTGTCGGAGCTTAAAAAGCACCCGCCACAGATTTCTTAACATAACATAAATATTTACAATGAAATTATTGAAATTGCACCAAACCCTAGAAACTGTGCATGCATTAACTGTTTACACACAGCTTGCAACAGTTTGCCATCTGTTTACGCAAAGCCATCGTTGAAATAAAAAGTAAACCAGGTCTAATTTACGTTTATAAAGTTAACTCCCTAAATCATCTTTCAAAAACACTTTTGGGGGATTGTGTATGCATGGGTTATTCTGTTTTACCTCAGTACCTGTGCCACAAGACCGACTTGGTCCAGTTTACTTGACATGTCACACCACCCATTCACTGGCCATACAAAGATATGCTACCTAACATGTTGCATGGAACTGAAGTGTTGTTTTCTCATAGAGGTCATTCATAAGTTTAATTTATACAGGATAGTACCTACAACTACAACCACCATAAAATGACAGCTCAAAGGTATACCTTTGATATACCTTTGATAGACTATACTCTATAGTGGCCCATATAGTCATGGTAATGTTCATGTATGTTACATGATGTATAATGGTTTTTAAGGTTTTGGCCAAAGAAATGTTATGCTTTGCTGGCTCCTTCCCAGTCTTCACCCTACCCTGACCATCCATGTCTTTATAATTTTAAGCAAGTCGGATCGGTGATTGTGCAATTTCTTTTCACCTAGGGGAAAATTCAGTGGCTGAGACGCATGAACTGTAATAAATAAAGTACAGTTTAAAGTCATAGCCATAACTAGTAAAAACAGTCACTTGATTGGTTTTGACTGTTTGTTCAATTTTTCAGCCTTTAGGCACACCATGGCTAAAATTTGGTTGGTGGTTTGTGAAAAAAAAATCATATTTATCTATGCTTCTGCTGGATGAGCACATAGAAGTAGCAGGTCATGTCAAGAATTAAATACTTGAGGCAAAAGGTGTTATCTTAACCCATTGGTCACTGTAACCCTTCAAAATCCAACTGCATGTTTTGTTGAAATCTGTTGGGGTCAGACTCATTTATGAGCAATCAGACAATTGATCTTTGAATGGTTATTAATCGAAAAATATTTTAAGTTAAACGTTTACTTAACCAGTTGACTCTGCATTTATGATCATAGAAAAGAAAATCATGTTTAAGGTGTAGGATTTCCCTGGATCATTTGAAAATCGCCTTCACTCAAAACTGCTCAACAGCCGCAGTCTTGTACATGTATTTCTTATGTCACACTTGCTTTTCAGTAAATGCTCACATTCTTCACCTAGTTACAGGGTTCAATTGAAGATTTTACATTATTAAAATATTTGGTGAATTTTTATTACAATGATTTCTCTATTACTTTTTTGGAGTGTGAGATTTTCTTGGGAGATTTCTTGTTTAGTTCACTGAATAATTACAATTGTACATGTATCTGGTCTTATGATCAGTCAGTTTTCAACTCCAAATTAACTTAAATGTAGTGCATATAGCTAGAAATTTAAGATTCAGAAGTAAGATAGGATTGTGAATGTTATTTTCACAATCTCATTCCCTTCGTGGACACATTGCAGACGAGCAAACCCCATGTATTGTACACAACTCTACGACGTATACAATAACACAGAGTTAGCTATAGCCACAGCGCGATCATATTACAATCGCCCAACGGCAGCGCGTTGACCACACACAGTCAGTCATCACGCCACACTGAGCCAGTCAGGTTCCTAGTTACGAATAACAGTATAACACTATGGCCTACTCATTGAGCCAGGCAAGCGACTGTGACACAGCGAATGTAGCGTTTGAGATAAACCATTTTCACTTTCGTCACGTTCATAAATTTGGCCCAAAAAACGGCCATGTTGAACTAAGGGATTTCCTTAAACGAATACGGAGTAAAGACTAGACCTTTGATATTTTTAGGCAATGAAAATGAAATGTTAAAAAAGCGTTTTCACAAAATAGATCGTTTTTGTGCCGGAATTATAGGGGCGTACATGAAGGCACTACTACACGGTAAGTGCATTCGATCACGTTGTCGCGTGCAGGATTCACTGCATAATAGACCAACGCGAAACAGATTCTTTTCTAGAATTGGTCTTGTGATACTGAACTAATATACACGTTTGGTACAGACCAAAAGCTTGAATAATGTCTGTGGAAACCAAAAAGCATTAAAATTAAGACTTGAAAGCGGATGTTTATTTTCCAACATTTTTAACACCCCTATTTTTTGAATGGAAGAGGCACACAGAAGGCCATTCGCGCTCGGCTGTGGGGCCCCCCTCCTCCCTCCCCTGATGTGACCTGTGTGTAGTGATCTGTTCACACAACCCCCCCCCCCATATGCATGTATATAGTTGATGAATAATTGATGAAAGTTTTCGTTGCATTTCTTGTAGGTGGAACTTTAGATGTATCTGGTGAAGCCTCGGGAGATTTTGGTGGAAGTGCTGGCCTAAAGGTTAGTTTATCATTTTGAGCCTACTTCTAAAAATCACATATGCAGTTATATGTACATGTATATCCCAAAAGACACCACAGTTTGATCTGAATTCAGAAAAAAACTGCATGAATTTGCCAGCATGATAATGAAAATCAAATGGTGCATTTGGCCAGGAAAACCTATAAACTTTTAAAAGATATATATATTTGTTTTCCTATAAATATATTTTTTAATTTCCCAACCGTTGATGGTTAAAGAAAAGTATTTCTTAAAAGCAAGAACTGCTATACAAAAATGTGCCTAAATTGATGCATTAATTAACCAATTTGTGCCGGAGGCCGTGATAATACGCACTGGCTGTTTTTGTGCACATGCACGGCTGACGGGTTAAGACGTTAAGATTGCCTCGACCTGCCTCTGGGTGACGTCTAAACACGCTAATCCCTCGTGCCTTTTGTACACACACAAAGTCCATGTAGTCTGTGGAGGCGGACCGTGTGCTGACTGTTGTGTGGGCCGTTGTGCATGGCCTATTGTTCCACTCCAGTGCACTTACCGAACTATTTAAACATACAAGGTTTCGCCAAGAAATATTATACTGTTGAAATTACTCTTGCAAATCAGTATTTGTGGCATTTGGCTGTATATCAGAAGTTGGTTGGGAAAATTTGCCTTTCGAATTTCGAAATTTTCGACAAAAATAAACCTGAACTGTTTAAAGATATTTGGAGATTTCACTTCCATTCTATGTTTACGATGTTTGTGTTCATCCATACAGCATCTTTGTGCAAATTAAGTGAGGCAGCCTCAAATTCTTAATACCCATCTATAGTCTCATTGACAGGAGTTATTTGAATTTTTTTTCAGGCCAACATTCCGTCTGGAGCATCTGCAGGTGTTGGCGTAAGTGGGGATATGCCCTCTGCAGGTGCAAGTCTTGATGTGTCTGCACCAGATGTGAAACTGAGCGTGAATGGAAATAAACACAAAAAGCGATCATCTTTCCCTAAGTTCAGAAAAAGAACTCCTGTTGAGGCGGAGTTGGATGTTGAACTTCCCAAGGGTGAAGCAGAGACTGGTGGAGGCATAGATGTAGCAGCTGGCATCAATGGACACAAAGGACAGAAACACAGGAGGAAGAAAAATCAAGAAGCAGGAGTTAAAGTGAAAACACCATCACTTTCTGCAGGAGGAGGAGCAGACATGGATATCGACATACCTGCAGTAGAAACACCTCAGGCTGGTTCTTCAGGTGGTGCTGATGTTGATGTAAATGCTTCACTCCCTTCAGCTAATGTAAATGTCAAAGCTGATATGCCAGAAGCAAAAGTACATTCTCCAAAGAAAGGTGGTTTCTTCGCCGGGATAGCCAAGTTCTTCACTGGAGATTCATCTGATTCAGATTCTGATGATGAGACCAAAAAACTCAAACAAGAGATAAATCTTCCTAAAGGAAATTTATCTGTTGAATCTCCAGGAGCTGATGTAAGAGGTGATGTGGATGCCAACCTAGACACATCAGCAAATATCAGCGGGTTTCCAGAGGGAGGCGCAAATTTCAACATTGGTGCAAGTGGCAAAGGTTCTCCATCTAAAGGAAAGAAGGGAGGAAGGTTCAAGTTGCCCAAGCTTGGAAAGCCAAAAATAAATGGCAGCACTGATGCAGGAGTAGAAGTTGCAAATGCTGATCTGGGAGGAGTTGTTGGATTTGATGTTGAAGCTCCAGATGTTGTGGTGAAAGCTGATGTTGACACTAATGTTAAAACAAAAAAGCCAGATTTTAAATTTGGTGGCGGTGTGTATGGGGATGGTGAACTTGGCACCAAAGGAGATCTTGCAGGACCAGATGTTTCCAGTCCAAAAAATGGTGTCAATGCAGATATTGATGGAGGAGTGAATGTTCCATATGCATCACCTGGTGTAAGGGGAGATATTAAAGCTCCCAGCATTGGTGGAAGCATCGGAAGTGGTTTTGGCAGAAGTGGGGGACTCGGCATGAAAGGAGATACTTCATTACCTGATGTCGATCTATCCGGTCCACAAATTGGTGGTGATGCACACATTGGAGAAAGAGGGAATGTACCGGATGCTTCAGTGGGTATTGGTGGAGATGTTAAAGTTCCTGGCATTGGTGGTGGTTTCAGTGGTGACAGTGATGTGGCCATTGAAAGAGGTATTTCTGGACCTGATGTTGATGTATCTGCTCCAAACTTTGGCGGTAAAGTGAATGTTCCAGATGCCTCACTGGATGTTGATGATGTGAAAGCCCCCAGCTTTGGTGGTGGTGTTGGTGGTCACATTGGACTTGGTGTCAAAGGAGGTATATCTGGACCTGATGTTGATGTATCACCCCCAACCATTGGCGGCAAAGGAAACATTGGAGGAAAAGTGAATGTACCAGATGCTTCACTGGATGTTGGTGATGTGAATGCCCCCAGCTTTGGTGGTGGTGTTGGTGGTGACATTGGATTTGCTGCCAAAGGAGGTATATCTGGGCCTGATGTTGATGTATCACCCCCAACCATTGGCGGCAAAGGAGACATAGGAGGAAAAGGGGAAGTACCAGATGCTTCACTGGATGTTGGTGATGTGAAAGCCCCCAGATTTGGTGGTGGTGTTGGTGGTGACATTGGATTTGGTGCCAAAGGAGGTATATCTGGACCTGATGTTGATGTTTCACCCCCAAGCTTTGGCGGTATAGGAAACATTGGAGGAAAAGGGAAAATACCAGATGCTTCACTTAATGTTGATGATGTGAACGCCCCCAGCTTTGGTGGTGGTGTTGGTGGTGAAAGTGGACTTGGTGTCAATGGAGGTTTATCTGGACCTGATCTTAACATCGGTGATGACACAAACATTAGAGGATTGAATGTACCAGATGCCTCTGTGGGCATTGGAGGTGACGTGAAAGCGCCAAGTTTTGGCGGTGGTATTGGTGTCAGTGGTAGTGGTCCAAAGGGTGGGATTTCCAGCCCTGACATTGATGTTCCTGCTCCATCGGGTAGTATTGATGTTAGTGCAGATGTGCCAGATGCAAAACTTGATCTCAGCAGCAAAAAGGACAAGGGAGGTTTCCACTTCAGACTTCCAAAGTTCAGATTTCCGTCATTTGGGTCGGGTGATGCCAAAGCAAAAGGCAATGTTTCTGTGAAAGGACCAGAGGGAAGATTGAGTGTTAACTCTGACTTTGACGTTGTTGGAGATGCAGACATTGATGTCAAGGCCAAAGGCCCAAATGTACAAAGTGATGTTAAAGGACCCTCTGGAAGCAAATTGGGTTCAGTTGATGTTGATGCCCCTGGTATTGGAGGTGATTCTGAGGCCAGAGTAAAATTGCCCAAGGGATCAGTTGGCATGTCTGGGTCGCTTGATGTTGATTCACCAGAGTATGAGGGAAAAGGATCAGGCAAAAAGAAGGGTTACCAGTTTGGTTTGCCATCTTTTAACTTTGGAGGAAAGGTGCCAAAATCTGATGTTCCAGATGTGGATATCAATGCCAGTGCAGGTGTTGATGTGGAGAAACCAGACACAGATGTTGATATTAAAGTTGGAGCACCAGGAGTGGATGTGGGTTTGCCTAAAGGTGATATTAGAGCAGGAATTGGAGGCTCATTTGGAGGAGCTTCAGGGTTGGGTGGCATCAGTCCCCCAGATGTTGGTGCAGATGTAAATGTTCAAAAGGGCAAAATGTCAATTGATGATCCAGATCTTGATGGAACACTTGTAGTTGATGGAAATGTCAAAGGACCAGAAGGAGCATTTGGGTTTAAAGGTGGGAGTATTGATTTGAAAGGACCTGACCTGGGAGGCGTACAAAAATCAGTTGATGTTGAGGTTGAAACCCCAAAGCCTAGTGCAGGTATTGATGTTGATGTTCCAAGTGGCAAGTTGTCTGCAGGAGGTGACGTGTCTGGTTCTCTTGGTGTTGATCCACCAGTGGCAGACCTGAGCTTAAATGGAAAGGCATCTGGAAAAGGTAAAAAATTCCATCTACCAAGTTTTAACCTCCCAAGCTTACCCAAGTGGAAGGGCAAGGGTAAAGCTGAAGTTGACATTGACGGTCAAGACTTGGATGCGAAGGTTGGAGCAGGTGGAGACATTAGTGTGAGCGGTGATGCAAATTTGCCAGATGTTGATGTGAATGCTCCTGAGGTAAAAGGGGATCTTGGAGCAGACGCTAATCTGTCTCTTGATAGCAAAGGAAAAGGGTCAAAAAAGAAAACGGGGGGCGGATTTCATTTTCCATCATTCAATTTTGGATTTTCTCCTCCAAAGCACAAGCATGGGAAAGTGTCAGGAGATCTTCCAGAGGTTGATATAAAAGGTGATGCAGATGTTGCAATTTCAGGTGGAGTTGCTGAAAAAGGACATGGTGATGCTAGCTTTGGTGGAGACCTGGACGTTGGAGGAAACTTGAAAGGTCCAAAGCTGTCTGGTCCTGACATAAATGTGGATTTTGGAGGCAGTGGTGGGGGAAAAGTAGATTTGCCTGAGGGAGATGCCTCACTTGGCTTCGGCTTAAAAGGAAGAGGAGATGGGAGCAGCTCTAGTGATTCAGAATCTGATGATGGCAAGAGAGGCTTTGGCCTGAAAGGTGGTATCAAAGGCCCAAAAGTGAAAGGAGGTGTTGGCGGTAAACTGAAAGGACCAGAAATTTCAGGTGATACAGACGGCCCAGATGCTGATGTGAAGGGTGGTGCTGGCATTGGTATTGGAGTTTCTGGTGGCATTGATCTCCCCAAAGGAGGTGCAGATGTGGATGCAAATCTACCAAAGGGCTCTGTTGATTATGAAGGACCAGATCTTGGTGGGGTTAGCAAATCCTTGGATGTTGATGTAAAAGCCTCAAAACCTGATGCTGATGTTTCTATTGATCTTCCAAGTGGAAAGCTTTCAGGTGATGCAGACATTGGAGTAGATGCAGATATTGATGCAGACATTGATCTTGGAGGCAAACATAGGGGATCTGGCAAGAAAAAGGGGAAATTCCACTTGCCCTCAATTAACATGCCCTCCATACATTTACCAAAGGGTAAAGGCAAGGGGCATGGTGATGTAGACTTGGATGGAGGACTTCAGATTGAAGGGGACATCAAAGGTCCAAAGGTGTCTGGTCCTGACATGGATGTGGATGTCAGTGGGGGAGCAGGAGGAAAAGTGGAGCTGCCTGAAGGAGGTGGCTCGATTTCTGTTGAAGGACCAAAGATTGGAGGTGGTGTAGGTGTTGATGATGATGGTAAAGCATCTAAACCAGACATTGGCCTGTCAGGTAAAGTTCCAGGTGCGTCTATTGGAGGAAGTGTTGATGGCCCTGGTATAGATGTCAATTTGTCAGGCGGTGGCAAGAAGAAAAAACCGAAAAAGAAAACAGGTGGGGGGTTTCACATGCCGTCATTTGGCTTTGGCTTTAAAGGAAAGGGAGATGACACCAGCAGCTCAAGTGATTCTGAATCAGATGATGGCAAGGCAGGCTTTGGCCTGAAAGGTGGTATCAAAGGCCCAAAAGTGAAAGGAGATGTTGGTGGAAAATTGAAAGGACCAGGAATATCAGGTGACATAGACGGCCCAGATGCTGATGTGAAGGGTGGTGCTGGCATTGGTGTTGGAGTTTCTGGTGGCACTGACCTCCCCAAAGGAGGTGCAGATGTGGATGTAAATCTACCAAAGGGCTCACTTGGTTTTGAAGGACCAGACCTTGGTGGGGTTAGCAAATCCTTGGATGTTGATGTTAAAGCCTCAAAACCTGATGCTGATGTTTCTGTAAATCTTCCAAGTGGAAAGCTTTCAGGCGATGCAGACATTGGAATAGATGCAAATATTGATGCAGACATTGATCTGGGAGGCAAACATAGGGGATCTGGCAAGAAAAAGGGGAAATTCCACATGCCCTCCATTAACATGCCCTCCATACACTTTTCAAAGGGTAAGGGCAAGGGGCATGGCGATGTTGACTTGGATGGAGGCCTTCAGATTGAAGGGGACATCAAAGGTCCAAAGGTGTCTGGTCCTGACATGGATGTGGATGTCAGTGGGGGAGCAGGAGGAAAAGTGGAGCTGCCCGAAGGAGATGGCTCAATTTCTGTTGAAGGGCCAAAGATTGGAGGTGGTGTAGGTGTTGATGATGTTAAAGCATCTAAACCAGACATTGGCCTGTCGGGTGAAGTTCCAGGTGCGTCTATTGGAGGAAGTGTTGATGGCCCTGATATAGATGTCAATTTGTCAAGTGGGGGCAAGAAGAAAAAAACAAAAAAGAAAGGAGGTGGAGGATTTCACATGCCATCATTTGGCTTCGGCTTTAAAGGAAAGGGAGATGGAACCAGCAGCTCTAGTGATTCAGAATCTGATGATGGCAAGAGAGGCTTTGGCATGAAAGGTGGTATCAAAGGCCCAAAAGTGAAAGGAGGTGTTGGCGGTAAACTGAAAGGACCAGAAATATCAGGTGACATAGACGGCCCAGATGTTGATGTGAAGGGTGGTGCTGGCATTGGTATTGGAGTTTCTGGTGGCATTGATCTCACCAAAGGAGGTGCAGATGTGGATGCAAATCTACCAAAGGGCTCTGTTGATTATGAAGTACCAGATCTTGGTGGGGTTAGCAAATCCTTGGATGTTGATGTTAAAGCCTCAAAACCTGATGCTGATGTTTCTATTGATCTTCCAAGTGGAAAGCTTTCAGGCGATGCAGACATTGGAATAGATGCCGATATTGATGCAGACATTGATCTGGGAGGCAAACATAGGGGATCTGGCAAGAAAAAGGGGAAATTCCATATGCCCTCAATTAACATGCCTTCCTTACACTTTCCAAAGGGTAAAGGCAAAGGGCATGGTGATGTTGACTTGGATGGAGGACTTCAAATTGAAGGGGACATGAAAGGTCCAAAAGTGTCTGGTCCTGACATAGATGTGGATGTTAGTGGGGGTGGTAGAGGAAAAGTGGAGCTTCCTGAAGGCGATGGCTCAATTTCTGTTGAAGGCCCAAAGATTGGAGGTGGTGTAGAAGTTGATGCTGATGGTAAAGCATTTAAACCAGACATTGATTTGTCAGGTAAAGGTCCAAGTGCATCGATTGGAGGAAGTGTTGATGGGGGCAAGAAGAAAAAACCAAAAAAGAAAGCAGGTGGAGGATTTCACATGCCGTCATTTGGCTTTGGCTTTAAAGGAAAGGGAGATGGAACCAGCAGCTCAAGTGATTCTGAATCAGATGATGGCAAGGCAGGCTTTGGCTTGAAAGGTGGTATCAAAGGCCCGAAAGTGAAAGGAGGTGTTGGTGGAAAATTGAAAGGACCAGAAATGTCAGGTGATATAGAAGGCCCAGATGCTGATGTGAAGGGTGGTGCTGACATAGGTATTGGAGTCTCTGGTGGCATTGATCTCCCCAAAGGAGATGCAGATCTGGATATGAAGCTACCAAAGGGCTCAATCGGTATTGAAGGACCAAATCTTGGTGGGGTTAGCAAATCCTTGGATGTTGATGTCAAAGCCTCAAAACCTGATGCTGATGTTTCTGTTGATCTTCCAAGTGGAAAGCTTTCAGGCGATGCCGACATTGGTGTAGATGCAGATATTAATGCTGACATTGGTCTGGGAGGCCAACACAGGGGATCAGGCAAGAAAAGGGGGAAATTTCACATGCCCTCAATTAACATGCCCTCCATACACTTTCCAAAGGGCAAGGGCAAGGGGCATGGCGATCTTGACTTGGATGGAGGACTTCAAATTGAAGGGGACATCAAAGGTCCAAAGGTATCTGGTCCTGACGTGGATGTGGATGTCAGTGGGGGAGCAGGAGGAAAAGTGGAGCTGCCTGAAGGAGGTGGCTCAATTTCTGTTGAAGGACCAAAGATTGGAGGTGGTGTAGATGTTGATGGTACAGCATCTAAACCAGACATTGACATGACAGGTAAAGGTCCACATGCATCTGTTGGAGGAAGTGTTGATGGCCCTGATATAGATGTCAATTTGTCAGGCGGGGGAAAGAAGAAAAAAACAAAAAAGAAAACAGGTGGGGGATTTCACATGCCGTCATTTGGCTTTGGCTTTAAAGGAAAGGGAGATGACACCAGCAGCTCAAGTGATTCTGAATCAGATGATGGCAAGGCAGGCTTTGGCATGAAAGGTGGTATCAAAGGCCCAAAAGTGAAAGGAGGTGTTGGTGGAAAATTGAAAGGACCAGAAATGTCAGGTGACATAGAAGGCCCAGATGCTGATGTGAAGGGTGGTGCTGGCATTGGTATTGGAGTTTCTGGTGGCATTGATCTCCCCAAAGGAGGTGCAGATGTGGATATGAAGCTACCGAAGGGCTCAATTGGTATTGAAGGACCAGATCTTGGTGGGGTTAGCAAATCCTTGGATGTTGATGTTAAAGCCTCAAAACCTGATGCTGATGTTTCTATTGATCTTCCAAGTGGAAAGCTTTCAGGCGATGCAGACATTGGAATAGATGCAGATATTGATGCAAACACTGATCTTGGAGGCAAACATAGGGGATCTGGCAAGAAAAAGGGGAAATTCCACATGCCCTCAATTAACATGCCTTCATTACACTTACCAAAGGGTAAAGGCAAGGGGCATGGTGATGTTGACTTGGATGGAGGACTTCAATTGAAGGGGACATGAAAGGTCCAAAAGTGTCTGGTCCTGACATAGATGTGGATGTTAGTGGGGATGGTAGAGGAAAAGTGGAGCTGCCTGAAGGCGATGGTTCATTTTCTGTTGAAGGACCAATGATTGGAGGTGGTGTAGGTGTTGATGTTGATGGTACAGCATCTAAACCAGACATTGACATGACAGGTAAAGGTCCACATGCATCTATTGGAGGAAGTGTTGATGGCCCTGATATAGATGTCAATTTGTCAGGCGGTGGCAAGAAGAAAAAACAAAAAAAGAAAACAGGTGGGGGATTTCATATGCCGTCATTTGGCTTTGGCTTTAAAGGAAAGGGAGATGACACCAGCAGCTCAAGTGATTCTGAATCAGATGATGGCAAGGCAGGCTTTGGCCTGAAAGGTGGTATCAAAGGCCCAAAAGTGAAAGGAGGTGTTGGTGGAAAATTGAAAGGACCAGAAATATCAGGTGACATAGACGGCCCAGATGCTGATGTGAAGGGTGGTGCTGGCATTGGTGTTGGAGTTTCTGGTGGCACTGACCTCCCCAAAGGAGGTGCAGATGTGGATGTAAATCTACCAAAGGGCTCAATTGGTTTTGAAGGACCAGACCTTGGTGGGGTTGGCAAATCCTTGGATGTTGATGTTAAAGCCTCAAAACCTGACGCTGATGTTTCTGTTGATCTTCCAAGTGGAAAGCTTTCAGGCGATGCAGACATTGGAATAGATGCAGATATTGATGCAGACATTGATCTGGGAGGCAAACATAGGGGATCTGGCAAGAAAAAGGGGAAATTCCACATGCCCTCACTTAATATGCCCTCCATACACTTTCCAAAGGGTAAAGGCAAGGGGCATGGTGATGTTGACTTGGATGGAGGACTTCAAATTGAAGGGGACATGGAAGGTCCAAAAGTGTCTGGTCCTGACATAGATGTGGATGTCAGTGGGGGAGCAGGAGGAAAGGTGGAGCTGCCTGAAGGAGATGGCTCAATTTCTGTTGAAGGGCCAAAGATTGGAGGTGGTGTTGGTGTCGAGGTTGATGGTAAAGCATCTAAACCAGACATGGACCTGTCAGGTAAAGGTCCAGATGCATCTTTTGGAGGAAGTGTTGATGCCCCTGACGTGGATGTCAATTTGTCTGTTGGGGGCAAGAAAAAAAGTCCAAAAAAGAAAGCAGGTGGAGGATTTCACTTGCCCTCATTTGGCTTTGGCTTTAAAGGAAAGGGAGATGGAACCAGCAGCTCAAGCGATTCTGAATCAGATGATGGCAAGGCAGGCTTTGGCCTGAAAGGTGGTATCAAAGGCCCAAAAGTGAAAGGAGGTGTTGGTGCAAAACTGAAAGGACCAGATATATCAGGTGACATTGACGGCCCAGATGCTGATGTGAAGGTTGGTGCTGACATAGGTATTGGAGTCTCTGGTGGCATTGATCTCCCCAAAGGAGATGCAGATGTGGATATGAAGCTACCGAAGGGCTCAATTGGTATTGAAGGACCAGATCTTGGAGGAGTGACAAAGGCTTTAGATGTTGATGTTAAGGCTTCGAAACCTGAAGGTAATGTTTCAGTTGATCTGCCGAGTGGTAAAATGTTTGTCGATAGCCCTGATGCATCTGTTGATACTGAAATTGATGGTGCAATTGGATTTGACGGAAAGGGTAAAGGATCCGGAAAAAAGAAAAGGGGGTTTCACATGCCATCGTTTGGATTACCAAAGATGAAAGGAGGCAAAGGAGACTATGACCTTAGTCACAGCGGGGACATCGATGTTGGTGCAGAAGGAAAATTCAAGCCGACGGGTGGTAGTGCTGACTTGTCTCTCAATGGGGATTTTGAGCTAGCAAAACCAGAAGCTGGCATTTCGGTAGATCAACCAAGTGGACCAAAAGTCCAGACAGACTTTGATGCCACAGCTGACGCTAAACTGCACAGAGGAGATAAAAAGAGAGGTTCTGGGAAAAGGGGCAGCTTTGGCCTGCCATCTATACACTTTGGCAAGTCAAAGCATAAAGCTTCGGGAGATGTTGATGTAAACATTGATGTATCACCCCCAAAGGCATCTGGAAGTATAAACGTCAAGGGTAAAGGCAGCCCAAAGAAAAAGAAGGGCAAATTTGGATTAGGTTTAGGCGGTAAAAAGGAAGAAATGGATGTGAGTGCAGGTAGTGATATTGTTACTCCCAAAGTTGACATTGAAGCAAAGGCTGCAAAACCAAGTGGAGATATTAGTGGTGGTCACCTTGCAGGAGTTGGAGACTTCACAGTTGACCTGGATGTTGCAGCTCCCAAACTTGATGGGTCATTCTCTGGCGGTGGAGGCATTGGTGGAGATATTAATGGAGATGGAAAAATTGATGCAGATGTTACAGCACCACAACCAGATGCTTCCCTTTCTGTAGGTGGAGGAATAGACCTAAGTGCTGGAAGTGGTGAAATGGGAGAAGTTCCAGATGTTGGTTTGAATCTTGGCAAAAAGGGAAAACCTAAAAAGCCAAAAGGAAAAAAAAAGGGAGGCTTTGGTTTTGGATTTCGAGGTAAAAAGGATGGGAAATCAAGCAGCAGTTCCAGTTCTTCAGAATCAGACCATGAAGGGAAAGGGGGGTTCAAAGTCAAATTGCCCAGTTTTGGATTTTCAGGCAAGGCTAAAAGACCTGGATCTGCAGAGGGAGGAATTGACATCAGTGGTGATGTTGATGTGTCGGCACCTAAATCAGATGGTTCGCTGTCAGTAGGTGGAGGAGGAATTGGTGCTGGTGTTGGAGCCCTAGATAGAATTGGAGATGGAAAAGTTGATGTTGATGTCTCAGCACCTAAACCAGATGGCTCACTGTCAGCAGGTGGATTTGGTGGGGGATTCGGAGGCCTTGGTGGAATTGGAGATGGAAAAGTTGATGTTGATGTCTCAGCACCAAAACCAGATGGCTCACTGTCAGCAGGTGGAGGAATTGGTGGGGGATTTGGAGGCCTTGGTGGAATTGGAGATGGAAACGTTGATGTTGATGTCTCAGCACCTAAACCAGATGGCTCACTGTCAATAGGTGGAGGAATTGGTGGGGGATTTGGAGGCCTGGGTGGAATTGGAGATGGAAAAGTTGATGTTGATGTCTCAGCACCTAAACCAGATGGCTCACTGTCAATAGGTGGAGGAATTGGTGGGGGTTTTGGAGGCCTTGGTGGAATTGGAGATGGAAACGTTGATGTTGATGTCTCAGCTCCTAAACCAGATGGCTCACTGTCTGCAGGTGGAGGAATTGGTGGGGGATTTGGAGGTCTTGGTGGAATTGGAGATGGAAAAGTTGATGTTGATGTCTCAGCACCTAAACCAGATGGCTCACTCTCGATAGGTGGTGGAATTGGTGGGGGATTTGGAGGCCTGGGTGGAATTGGAGATGGAAAAGTTGATGTTGATGTCTCAGCACCTAAACCAGATGGCTCACTGTCAGCAGGTGGAGGAATTGGTGGGGCATTTGGAGGCCTTGGTGGAATTGGAGATGGAAAAGTTGATGTTGATGTCTCAGCACCTAAACCAGATGGCTCACTGTCAGCAGGTGGAGGCCTTGGTGGGGGATTTGGAGGCCTTGGTGGAATTGGAGATGGAAAAGTTGATGTTGATGTCTCAGCACCTAAACCAGATGGCTCACTGTCAATAGGTGGAGGCCTTGGTGGGGGATTTGGAGGCCTTGGTGGAATTGGAGATGGAAAAGTTGATGTTGATGTCTCAGCACCTAAACCAGATGGCTCACTGTCAGCAGGTGGTGGAATTGGTGGGGGATTTGGAGGCCTTGGTGGAATTGGAGATGGAAAAGTTGATGTTGATGTCTCAGCTCCTAAACCAGATGGCTCACTGTCAATAGGTGGAGGAATTGGTGGGGGATTTGGAGGTCTTGGTGGAATTGGAGATGGAAAAGTTGATGTTGATGTCTCAGCACCTAAACCAGATGGCTCATTGTCAGCAGGTGGAGGAATTGGTGGGGGATTTGGAGGCCTTGGTGGAATTGGAGATGGAAAAGTTGATGTTGATGTCTCAGCTCCTAAACCAGATGGCTCACTGTCAGCAGGTGGAGGAATTGGTGGGGGATTTGGAGGCCTTGGTGGAATTGGAGATGGAAAAGTTGATGTTGATGTCTCAGCACCTAAACCAGATGGCTCACTGTCAATAGGTGGAGGCCTTGGTGGGGGATTTGGAGGCCTTGGTGGAATTGGAGATGGAAAAGTTGATGTTGATGTCTCAGCACCTAAACCAGATGGCTCACTGTCAGCAGGTGGTGGAATTGGTGGGGGATTTGGAGGCCTTGGTGGAATTGGAGATGGAAAAGTTGATGTTGATGTCTCAGCTCCTAAACCAGATGGCTCACTGTCAATAGGTGGAGGAATTGGTGGGGGATTTGGAGGTCTTGGTGGAATTGGAGATGGAAAAGTTGATGTTGATGTCTCAGCTCCTAAACCAGATGGCTCACTGTCAGCAGGTGGAGGAATTGGTGGGGGATTTGGAGGCTTTGGTGGAATTGGAGATGGAAAAGTTGATGTTGATGTCTCAGCACCTAAACCAGATAGCTCACTGTCAATAGGTGGAGGAATTGGTGGGGCATTTGGAGGCCTTGGTGGAATTGGAGATGGAAAAGTTGATGTTGATGTCTCAGCACCTAAACCAGATGGCTCACTGTCAGCAGGTGGAGGAATTGGTGGGGGATTTGGAGGCCTTGGTGGGGGATTTGGAGGCCTTGGTGGAATTGGAGATGGAAAAGTTGATGTTGATGTCTCAGCACCTAAACCAGATGGCTCCCTGTCAGCAGGTGGAGGAATTGGTGGGGTATTGGGAGGCCTTGGTGGGGGATTTGGAGGCCTTGGTGGAATTGGAGATGGAAAAGTTGATGTTGATGTCTCAGCACCTAAACCAGATGGCTCACTGTCAGCAGGTGGAGGAATTGGTGGGGGATTTGGAGGCCTTGGTGATATTGGAGATGGAAAAGTTGATGTTGATGTCTCAGCACCTAAACCAGATGGCTCACTGTCAGCAGGTGGAGGAATTGGTGGGGGATTTGGAGGCCTTGGTGGAATTGGAGGCCTTGGTGGAATTGGAGATGGAAAAGTTGATGTTGATGTCTCAGCACCTAAACCAGATGGCTCACTGTCAGCAGGTGGAGGAATCGGTGGGGGATTTGGAGGCCTTGGTGGAATTGGAGATGGAAAAGTTGATGTTGATGTCTCAGCACCTAAACCAGATGGCTCACTGTCAGCAGGTGGTGGAATTGGTGGGGTATTTGGAGGCCTTGGTGGAATTGGAGATGGAAAAGTTGATGTTGATGTCTCAGCTCCTAAACCAGATGGCTCACTGTCAATAGGTGGAGGAATTGGTGGGGGATTTGGAGGTCTTGGTGGAATTGGAGATGGAAAAGTTGATGTTGATGTCTCAGCTCCTAAACCAGATGGCTCACTGTCAATAGGTGGAGGAATTGGTGGGGGATTTGGAGGCCTTGGTGGAATTGGAGATGGAAAAGTTGATGTTGATGTCTCAGCACCTAAACCAGATGGCTCACTGTCAGCAGGTGGAGGATTTGGTGGGGGATTTGGAGGCCTTGGTGGAATTGGAGATGGAAAAGTTGATGTTGATGTCTCAGCACCTAAACCAGATGGTTCACTGCCAGCAGGTGGAGGAATCGGTGGGGGATTTGGAGGCCTTGGTGGAATTGGAGATGGAAAAGTTGATGTTGATGTCTCAGCTCCTAAACCAGATGGCTCACTGTCAATAGGTGGAGGAATTGATGGGGGATTTGGAGGCCTTGGTGGAATTGGAGATGGAAAAGTTGATGTTGATGTCTCAGCACCTAAACCAGATGGCTCACTGTCAGCAGGTGGAGGATTTGGTGGAGGATTTGGAGGCCTTGGTGGAATTGGAGATGGAAAAGTTGATGTTGATGTCTCAGCACCTAAACCAGATGATTCACTGTCAGCAGGTGGAGGAATTGGTTGGGGATTTGGAGGCCTTGGTGGAATTGGAGATGGAAAAGTTGATGTTGATGTCTCAGCACCTAAACCAGATGGCTCACTGTCAGCAGGTGGAGGAATCGGTGGGGGATTTGGAGGCCTTGGTGGAATTGGAGATGGAAAAGTTGATGTTGATGTCTCAGCACCTAAACCAGATGGTTCACTGTCAATAGGTGGAGGAATTGGTGGGGGATTGGGAGGCCTTGGTGGAATTGGAGATGGAAAAGTTGATGTTGATGTCTCGGCACCTAAACCAGATGGTTCACTGTCAATAGGTGGAGGAATTGGTGGGGGATTTGGAGGTCTTGGTGGAATTGGAGATACAAAAGTTGATGTTACAGCACCCAACCCAGAAGGTTCTCTCTCTGTTAGTGGTCCTGATGTAAGTGGAGATGGCATTAGTGGCAATTTTGGTGGAGGCATTGGTGATGGTGCAGGTGGTAGCTTTGGGGGTGGAGATATTGACATTGAAACTAAAGCACCAAAACCAGATGGCTCATTTTCTGTAGGTGGAGGTCTGGCCTTGGCTGGTGAGGGATTTGGTAAAGATTTTGGAGGTGACCTAGATATGGTTACACCTAAGGTTGATGACAGCGTAAAAGCAGTCAAACCAAAAGCCAACGCATCAGCTGGAGGTTTTGTTGGCAGAGGCCTTGGAGGTGGTATTGCTGGAGGCTTTGATGGCATCGGAGATGGAAAAATTGATGTGGATACTGCAATACCCAAACCAGATACCTCATTCTCTGCAGGTGGAGGGATTGATGTAGGCCTTGGCTTTAGTGGAGACCACAAGGGAGATATTGGTGGAATCGGAAATGGAAAATTTGATGTCAGTGGGGAGTTTGGCAGCGATGATATTAAGCCTGAAGTTGACATGAATGTCAAAGCAGCTAAACCAGAGGGTTCATTAAGTGGAGAGATCGGTGGCATTTTGACTGGTGGCCCTGATATTGGCAGTGGTCTCGGAGCAGATGTTGACATTGATGTTGGTACAACAAAACCCGACATGTCAATGGGCGGCCTGGATGGAATTGGAATGGGAGGCACAGCTGGCGATATTAGTGGTGATGTTGGTGTTGGCTTATCTGGTGGAGCCAAATTGGGCCTACCTGAAGTAACAGGTTCTGCTAGTACTAAAACTGATGGTAAAAAGCGGAAGAAAAGAGGAAAAGGAAAGAAGAAAAAGGATCATGAGGGATCATCAGTCGATGGTGCTGTTTCAGTAGATGTACCAAGTGCAGACATCGGAGTAGTGGGCGGGGATGGTGGAGAAGTTGACGTTGACAAAGCTGCTTCTGGAGGACTTTCTGTTAAACTGCCAGAAATGTCGGGCTCATTAGCAGGCAAAGCTGACGTTGATGTTAAAACAGAATCAAAGGCTCGTCCAAAGAAGAAAAAGAAGGAAAAGAAAGGATTCTTTGGGTCAATAGGCCTGTCCAGAGATTCTACTTCTAGCTCCAGCTCTAGCTCCAGTTCATCTTCTGACTCTGATGAAGGTATTGGCTCCAGAATAATGTCAACATTTGGATTTGGCAAAAAAGACTCCAGTGACTCTGATAACCCCAATTCAAATAACAACAACAATACGCAGACTGATGGTACACAAACAATTGAAACAAGACACGACGACATGGAACTCAATGTGAACAATAATGCAAATGGAGATGATGCTGATGATTCAGCTGCATATGCCAAAGAACATTCCCACTCCAAAGGAAAGAAGTCTTTGGGGAAGTTTTTCAGCCGCAAAGGTCGACAAACCATTGTTCAAATACCAGACGAAGACACTGCTGATGAAGTAGGACTCCATGGAGTAGACAGTTTGCACTCCAGTAGATCTGATGGTGAGTAAAGTTTAACAATGGGACAAATTAGTAAAGACATTTGCAAAATGCTAAAACTGAATGTATGCCATTAACCTGGTGCATTTTAAGGAACTTTGCAGCTTTATTCTTAATAGCATGTAGATTTATTCAGCTGGAGCATACAGCATTTTCTTTACTGAGGGAACAAGTGTAACAAATAATTTGCATAATTATATAGCTTGCAATGTTTTTGTAGTTTGTGCTTTTTTTATTTTGCAATCAACTGCATAAAAGGTAGTTATTCTGACTTCAAAAGGTTGTCTTGGTGATCAAGATAGGAAGTCATTTGTTATCTCACATAAGTTTAATCATTCCGACAATTTAAAAACAAACTCCCAACTTTAACATTCACAATACCTTTTTCCTCTGATCTGTTTTTGCAAATTGTAATATTTAAATGAAGCTGATGAAAATAATACTATGTTAGGCAAAGTGCTAACATAATAGTTGGTCATCAGTGTTAGAAGTTTTCAAGATTGCTCTATCTCAAGATTTTAAGATTCCATGTGTAAAAAATATGAGACTGAGAACAAAAAGTGATTGCATGTTGACGTCAAATGAAATGGGATAGTGAGATTTACAGTTTTTCATTCAAATGATTCCTTCTATGATTTCTTGATTTTGTGCTACTAGGAACACAAGTAGCATAGATTCACACGATAACCCTATGCAGCTTTTAAAGGTTCGAAAGGTATGAACAGTAATTCCTCAATGGTGTTTTGCCCTGCATGCATTGCTGAGTTTGCTGATAAAACAACTATTTGTGCCTTCTCCAAATGGTGCACACTAATAACCAGCATTTAAATCAACTTGGACTTAAGGTCAGTCTATCATTTGATCACACAGTACTTATCAGTCATTTTGGAGAAGGGATAAAAAGTTGTTTTTTAAGAAAAACTCAACAATCCACTTTTGCTTTGATTTGCTGTTCTTGCACATTACATTTTGCTGTGAAAAAAAATCCCTTTCAGAAGCTGTGTGATTGCATGATTTCTGTTAAATGTTATCACTTGCATGATCTGCTGTTACTATGCAATTTAGATAAACCTGCTTGCTTTTATGTTTTTCTTGCATATTCTATCACTACTCACTGAAACAGTAAATGACGTTAACCGCATGCCGTCCAACAGGAGTGACAGTCTGCATGCACGTCACACACAACAGAAAACACTGTCAAAATCTGAGAGCCAGAGGGAGGGCAAGGTGGGAACATTAGGCAAGCTGTTCGGGAAGAAAAAGACAAAGAAAGGCACAGAAATGCTACAAGAAACCAAGGATATGTCTCCACCAATAAGAGTCGGTAGATATGAAAGTGTCTCGGCGGAAAGTACTGGCAGTGTAGATATGTCTGTTAGCAGTAGCAGTCCTGTAACATACTCCCCTGCAGAATTTCTGCCAAGGCCTAGGGCTTCCGTTGATAGTACATCTTCAACTTCTTCAAAGTCTACCAAAAAACGGGCAGCTCCACCCCCACCAATCTTAAAAGTTGCACCTCAAGAACATTTATTCAAAGGTAGTGTCCCTGGGTCTCCAGGATCGGAATATTCTTTGAAATCATTTTCATCTTCATCTTCAATAGGAACACCTCCAACCCACTGTAGAAAAGGTTTTGCTCCCACCCTACCAATTCAATCATTCGACAAAAGGTATAGTGCTGTTTCACTTCCAGATATGCACTCCCACAGACAAGAGTCTCATATCAGAGCTGCTTCATTGGAAGTACCTAAGGGTCCACTATTATCCCAGATGTCTAACCGTTCCACTTCTGGCCTTTTAGCTGAGCATGGAATCATGTATTCAAGTATTGAAGACCTAGGCACAATAGCAGAAGCTGTTAAGGTGTTGCCACTTCCACAAGGGGCTCCCCCTCCTAAACCAAAGCGTTCGGCATCACCCAGTATTCTAGAAGAAGAGGTGGATGAAAAGGAGTCTCTTTTCTGGGTTGAAGAGATTGTAGATAAATATTGTGTAAATACTGTGCAGGAAACATCAATTTCAAACCAATCCCTGCCAGAGACTGCAACCTTATCCAACCAAAGGTCTGATTCAAAACAATCCAACAAAACCTGTGAAGAAAATCTTGGAAATTCTGAGAAGCAGTTTGAACTGTCATTGACGGAGGAAGAACAGATGACAAAGTTTAAGCAAATTTATCTGTTTGATTCAGACTTCATGTTTGCACCACACATGCAAACTGCAGAATCGCAGTATGACATTGAAGTGGCTTGCGATAACAAGTCTTCAGAAAACATCCAACTCCAAAGTCAACGTGCAACCAGTGTTCCTAGTTTAGCACCTAGTGATCCACAAGCAAGCATTTCTGCCTCAGACACCAAGCCTTTGCAGACGAAGCCTAACAAATCTGCTTGTGAAGAGGCACCAATTTTAGAGGATTCAGATAAAGCACAAAAATCTGACAGTGATTCCATGAGTGCTCCTGAAAACTCAGCAACTATAAAACCCCAAAACAGTTGTGTGGAAGAAAAGCAACTATTGTACACACAGCACACAAATACAGATTTCTCTTCGTGCAAAGAAGATGCAGCCATCCCTGATTTTTCAATAGTGAGACGAATGGCGAAAGAGGCTATTTCATCAAATCATGAAAGGTCATCTGAAATTAAGGCACTCCTTAAAAAATCCATGGCAAGAATGATGGGAGTTGATCTTCCTGTCAAGTCAATTTCTATAACACATTCAGAGAAAAAGACTGATGGAGATGAATGTAAAGAAGACTTTGACAGTTGCAGTGGATCAACTAGGAAGGAAATGGGACATACTATATCATTTGTAGATATGGACAAAGTAGCAGTTGAGAATTTGTCATCTGCAGAGGAGCATTCTCATGACTGCAAAAAAGTCTCTTCAGAAAATACCCAAACCCCAGTGGACCACAATTTGAAAAGAAGTCGGGAAAAACAAAAGATTGATACAGATTCTGATGGAATAAGGATGTCTTTGGTAGCAGGAGATACAGCAGTAGTTGCAGAACAGCATGAAACAATGCAGAAGGACCCCAATCAAAGGAAGGCTTCCTCAAGAATTTTGGTCAGTGAATATGTGCCAGTTGATTCTTTAGGAATTGGATTGACCACTCCTAAAATGAAAGGTATCCAAGAAACAGTTTTTGCTGAAAAATGTGTAGATCAAAATGCCAATACAGAAAAAGTGCCCAAAATAGAAACGGACAGTAAGCCTTTAACAAGGTCAAATTCCTTACATCATAATGGTAATAATTCAGTGTCTAAAACATTTCGTGCTTTGTCACGGTCCAAATCATTGGGTGCAGAAGAGTGGAACGAAGCAATACACAGAGATGAACCAGATGGGGAACACCAAGAAAAGCACTTTGAATTTGAAAGAGCAGAGCCTAAAGATGAACTTGAAAAACTAGCTTCCTTGAGTGTTGTGAAAGCAGTACGGAAAAGATTTGGTGGTGTAATGTCCAAGGAAAATAATCAGAACCCATCAGATAAGCCAAGAAAACAAGTTCCGGAAAATAAAACAGCACAAATCTCAGGTGGTTCAGATAAGGAAATCCTCGAGTTCCTCAAAGCCCAGACTAAATTAAGGAGAGTTAATCCTTCTGGCAAGATATCGGTCTCGGAGCAGACAATGAACAAAGTGCCAGTGGAAAGGTCCAAACAGGTGCAAGCTGAACCAAAGTTTGTTTGTTCAACTGATTCAGATGACAAAGAGAGCCCAGAGTTTGTAAAAGTACAAACTAAATTGAGGAAAGTTACTCCTCCTGATAAGATTGCAATCACAGAGCAGGACCAAATGATGAGTCAACCCCCAGTGGAAAGCACTGAATCCATACAAATCTCACCAAAGCCAACAAAGCCCAACCAATCAACAGTAAATCAAGCATCCCCAACTTTTGCAGGTGTTGGACGAGTAATGTATCAGAGTAAAGCATTGACATGGAGGAAGTCCACAGATAGGGCACCCCCAAAAAAGGAAGAGGTACCAGTCAAAAAGAATGCAGAAGATGATAGTTTCCCAATAATTGAAAGTGTAAGTTCCTGGAAGGAGAAGCGAGCGAGGAAAAAGAGTTCAGTTGTGGATGATTATGAAGTAACAGGGGAAAATTGTGAAAGAGAACAAGATAAGCCTGTGCAGGGGGAGTCAGTTGTCAAAGATACACAAGTTGTTCAGCATGTCAAGGTTGAAGATAAAGACATGCATGTCCTTGAGAAAACACAAATGATGCCACGGATGCTAGAATTACAAGATCCAAGTCGGAACTGCAAGCAGAAGGAACACAAAAAGGAAACAATGGATGTTGATTTAGTCATAAGGAAATCTACATTGGAACGGTCAGGTGAAAATCCTATTGAAGAATCACCATCAGCAATCATTTCAACTGAGCTTACAGCAGAGCAGAATAAATACAACAAAACTGAGGTACCAGACAGCGGTATGCAATCTATATTTGAAGAGGAACACAAAATTTGTTCACAGGGAACCAAAGAAAAAGAGACCTCTAAGCAAGAAACTGAAGTTGGAGATGAGGAAGCACACATGAGACGGCATAAAGAAGTCCGTGAAAGAACCAGAACTATTCTTGCTAAAATGAAGGCTGCGAAAGCATTCCAAGCATCATTCACAAGTGCTCAGACATTCAGTGATGATACGAGAGTACAGCGAAGAGGATTTGAAGAGTCATCTAAAATCCGAGAACACAGACGTCATTCAAAATCCACACCAAACATTGACAAGAGTTGGGAAATATTTGAATTGTTGCCTAATAAATCTGATATCCAGCATGCAGTCCAATCAGTTTCCCAGGGCAGCTTGAATGAAGGACTTGTAATGAAAAATGAAGATGAAAAAAACAAATTCAACTTGGATAAAACAGTGAAGCAATCTCCAGTTCAGCAAAGAGTTATTCGAAAGGTTAAACGGAAAACACATGTTCGAAGACCGGTCAGTGGGGATCTTGACAGGCATTCAGAAAGTTCATCGGAAGGCCTCTCTGAAGATGAAACTCTGAGAAGACAGAACATCAGTGGTCGTTTAGATTCTGGTTTTTCTGATATTGCATCCCACTCTGAGATTGACAGATGTATCCTTCCACAAAAAAGCCATCCCAGAAAAAATGGGGCAAAACTGAAGCAGTTAAGCCCACGAACCAGTCCAAAAATGCACCAAAAGATTGCGTCAGTTGCTGAATTGTCTCATAAACCAGTCACTGATGCTTCTCCCAGTACCAAAAATGTAACAACGCTAGATACTGCAGAGCTGCAAAGGATTATCATACAGCAACAGGAAGAAATGCGACTTCTTCGTCAACAGATGCAAGCGTCTCAGTTGCAGGCCGCTCAGATGCAGCCCGCTCAGATGCAGCAAGCTCAATTGCAGGCCTCTCAGATGCAGGCCTCTCAGTTGCAGGCCGCTCAGATGCAGGCCTCTCAGTTGCATGCATCTCAGTTACAGGCTACTCAGATACATGCCTCTCAGTTGCAGGCCTCTCAGTTGCAGGCCGCTCAGTTGCAGGCCTCTCAGTTACAGGCCACTCAGATACATGCCTCACAAATGCAGCCTTCCTCTCTTCCTAATACCAGCCAGTCCCAACCTGGAAATGTAGGGTCAATGAGCGCAGCAACAGCCCCTCATGTTCCCTCCATGCCCTTCATGTACTCTCAGCCTAATATGATGATGTCAGCTGTGCAGCAGCCAATGTACTATTTACCACATGGGATGCAACCCTCTGGGGCGGGGATGCAAGGTCCTGGTGTGCAGATGCCAGGGGTTCTTCCACTGGGCAACTTCTCATCCTTTGCGCCTTTTCCTGTACAGGGGATGTTACCGATGCAGACACAACTGCCACCTATGGGTATGCAAGTACAAGGTAGTGTGACACAGTACCCCACCACAAGCCACTTGCCGACAATGACCACAGCCGGGGGATCCTTTGGCAGTACCTTAGGTATGCCTGAGCAGAAACACAGCGAGTAGTGATGCCTTAGTACCACCAATGTCATCAGCAAAAAAGTGAGTGCGGTTGCCTGCAAATATACTTTGATCCCAATTTAACAAATACCCACATGTACTAAACTCTTTTGCGCATGATCCCATCCTTCAAAACGCACGTGCACTTACCTACTTTATTTGTTTGGTTTTGTAGTTCAGTTTTGAAAAGGAACTTCTTCACTGCTATGTCAACTTGTTTGATTCGTAAAATTATGAAAAAGTAATTTTGCTTTGTACATTCGCCAGGTAGAAACTATGGCTGTTGTAGCAAACATTAGTGAGTTTAAATAGGTGTTAATAATGGTAATTAAAACTTATAACTTCTAGTTATCTATTACTTGTTCATGGTTTAATAATAAAAATGCATCTCCAGTTTCCATGTTCAGGTATCTATTACAGTAATCTTTGTAAAACAAGTAATATTCCCATAACCCACCAACACATCACTTAAAAAGCTAAAATTGCGCACCATATCAGGCTTGTGATGGCAGTTAATATTTTTTCTACAAGACATCCTTATGAAAACATTTTCTGAATGTCACGTTTTGTTATGTGTTCATATTTAATCAGATAATTTATGATTTCTAAATATTAGGTAATTGTAATGCTAGTTATTGTTAATGTAATTGTGACCTTTTTTTGTGCGTTACCTTCAATTCTTTGTCTTTGGAAAGGATCTTGATATTGTTGAAAAAAAATGTATTTTGAATTGAAGAATTTGTTAACATTTTAATAAGAAATTCACAATGTAAAAGCTGTAATTTACTCTTTGGGTTTTTTTCGGTGTGATAAACCCCAGGCAGAGATCACCACTATAGCTGCTTTATGAATCAAGGGACACTTGAGGCTTTTCGATTTGTGTGCTGAAATGCTTGCGATATCTATTGTTCATTCAACTTGCACAGCTGGATAAAGTACTTTGTCCAAGATATAAAGCCAAATTGAGAAATCAGAAATGGTGGAAAATAATGTGGGATATCAGCATATGGTAGTGTTTGAAAAAGTTATAGAAGGGAAACTTGCCTAAGTAATTCATGACCAGTTGTCTGTTTGGCTTCAGCTCAAGGTTCATTGTTGAATCACATGGTGTACCGTAAATCATTTTTAACAATCTAAAAGGCTGTTATTGAAAAAACTTCCATGGCAATGTGTGTTTCTTTTCTGATGACAATCTATCACTGTTGCACCTAATAGTTTGGTAACTTTCAACTAAGAGGTGAAGTTAAAACCTTTGTTGGCTAACTGAATGGATATATTTTGGTACAATTCTTGTGAGAAATTGCTATCAAGGCATGTTTCATTATTCATATAATTATGTATCTTGAAAAGAATTTCTTGTGTACATCATGCTAACCTATAACTTCATTACGCTGCAAAATGTTCAGCCTTTATGAATTAAAAAATGTTACATGTACCTCAATATAAAAAAATTCAACTAAAATGCTTGGTGTTGGTTTCCTTTGAGAATTTTATACTTTATTGCAATTTTGACAACAAATTAACTTTAATTTTGAATTTGAACTCAAATGAAACTGCAACCAGGAACAGCTATTTCATTTTAAAGATTTGGAAGCTAACTATATTTTGATTTTCAGCTTAAAATGTATCACAAAATTGACTTGTTAACAAGAGAACGATTTGTAAGGAATTACATATAAGGACACTTTCAGGTGCAAAGCAGATAACCCATGCCTTGTAAATAATGAAATTTGTTCAAAACCAAATAATTGAACAAACTTGTATGTATGTAGTGTTTGTCAAGTTGGTGAAATGTACAGGTTCAAATTTTGAATGCGCTGGCTGACTCATTAGTACTAAACCCTTTGTATATTCATAATTTTTTTATACATTGCTACCTTTTACCAGTAGTGTCTATGTACGGTATAAATATCTATCCACTGTCTTGTAACCTTATTATACCTGCCACTTACAAAATTGCAATATTGTGTATCGTAAAATTCCTTCCATGTTTAACATTTATATAACTAAGTTGGTAGGATATCAGTAACCTGTCGTAGTCTTAAGGTGTAGATCTAGCTTTCAAAACTATATTTTCACATTAATATTGGAACGTAGAGTGAGCTGCGTAATGACTGTTACAGGTCATCTAACCACTTGTAAATGGCTCCCTGTGATGATCATGCATAGATGACAGTGTCCTAGAAAATATGTTGAAGTAATCACTTAAGAGTTTTTGTGTAATTGTATTTAGACATTTATCGTATTGAGTAGAGTTAACGTTTTGTTACATTTTCACTAAAAACACTAATAAGGTAATTTACAGGGCCTATATAGATTTATATGAAATGCACAAAAATCTGAAAAGATTAGCAAATAGGATTCCACCTTCTGTGCCTTAACAGCAAAAGTAAGGAATTTCGGAGAATGATTTTTTTAATAATTATAAGCCGGTGGTTAGTATTGCAACACTGTAATTTATATCTTTAAAAATGATCGCTTGAAAATTGTAGATCTGCTAGTGATGGGAGTAACATCTTTTGAAAGGCCCCCACCCTAAGCAAAACCTGACATTAACAGTGTCTACAATTGCAGCTATGAAACCAATCTTTCTGACAATTGCACCTTTATTGTGTCAGTTTCAATACTAACCACTCAGTGAGCATTGCGTTCAAGCAGTACAAAATGCCTGATGCTTGTATATCTGTGCTTCCAGATTAAAAAGTAAAGCTTTTCACAGTGCCTTGTATATAAAACAAAAAACTGTTTATTTTTGGTGTAGACATTGGTTTAGTCATTATGTCTTGCACTGGATGAATGGATTTGATAATTATTTTTCTTTAAACGTTTGTGGGTTCTTTGCAAATAAAACATAACATGAAATGAAATACTGTTTCCCATTTTAGTATTCTGTCAACTGGACATGTTAAATTGTACATGTACATGTATTGATATTTGACAAGTCACCATAAATGTGTAATTTATGCAAATAACGAATAACTTTCAAAAGCTTCATTGACACACCGCACAAGTAGCATCACGTGGAACACGGCTACTATCAACCAATTTAAAGTTAAATAAACAGTTTCATATTTAATGAAAATTAAAAGGTAAAAATGCAATGCAAAATGAACAGTTTTACAGATGGGTACTGTAAATAAAATAAAATTTAAAAAAATTGGTTTATATAGAAACATTCTGATTTAAATTTTAAAAATCCAATATTTTGTTGATTAAAAAAAATAATAATAATTTTAACCAAGCTACAAATGTTATCACCAAGCTACGTACATAACATGCTTTATGACCATTATTATTTATATCATAAAATAGGGTAGTGAAATATCCATGGTAATCATGTGGTCATGCATCACTAAGGTCCATTGTCTTGACAATTGTATGATGTGAAAACATCATGTATGATGGTTGGGATGAAACATTATGAGCACATGCAGACTTTAGATTAGGCCAAAAAAAAAAGTCTCCGGTTTCTGGTATGGAGCTTGCCCAAAAAGTGGTGCGGCGACGCGACTTTTTTTTTTTTTTTTTACCTGATTTTTTTGCTTCAAATGTCGGCTGATGACTGCAAATGGTGCCCGACTAAACTTAGTGCAAATATATGGGAGTCCAGAGAGGCCACATAAAGCTTATTCTCGACCATAACCCAATCTAAAAATTGTGCAGCAGCAGGATTCCAGTCAAACCAGTGAGTTTGGCGGTTTTGAGACATCATTTTTCATTGAAAAAAATACTTTTTCATTTTGCCGACGCGCATGGCTACGGCGACGCGCGCGCATACCAGAAACCGGAGACTTTTTTTTTGGGGCCTTAGGAAGGTTCAAGGGATATTTAACTTGAACACGAGAACAAACATAAAGGATTTCTGTGAATAGATGATCTCAATCATTCAGAATTCAACACCTTATACACCCAACACCTTTCACATGTCTACTTGCCCTTTCAACATGGTTCACAGTGGCATTACTGCATATATCTCCCACCGCCTATCTCATCATTGCAGGTTTATTATGTAAATTGCCAACCTGGTGCTGCATGCAGGCCTGCAAATCCCCAAGGTTGGGAGGTGGACTGCTGAAAACTCTGTCCTTTATAAAATAGTTTGGAACGCATTGAGTTGCAACACAAGTCCATCAATTGAAAGAAGAAAAAAAACATTCAGATTAGTTGATTGTCCCTCTTAACATATACAGGGACACCCTGTATATGTTCTCAGTTATGGTGGTGTGTCTTGCATCCACATCGCTGTTTTAAGTTGCTGGGTTTTTTCAGTAAACCAAAGTACAGTTGATAAGAAATTGTAAAAAAGCTGCATATGTATTAAATATTCCAACAGTATTGGATGCACAATGCACTAAATCATTCTTCGGGATCATTTACCCCTAAAATATTTCAAAAGACCATTTTAGCTCCCTGAAGGCTTGGATCTTGATGCTGCCATTTCGGCGCAAAGCAGCTAAACTCACAGTGACCATCTGTGCCCTAACATGCACGCATTGATTGGTCAAGCAATATAAGTGACAGTGTCTTGTCCAAGGTCAGCTACACCACAAACCCCTTCAGAAATGGCTCGCACACACAATCCGTAGAATTACCCACAAATCTTGAGTTTGATGCTGCAGACCACAAGACAATCCACACATGATTACTAAAATCCTGAAAATGTACCAACTTTGAATTCAGATGGATTAAAATATGAATTGAACTCAAATAGTCGAATAAACCATGAAATTTTTAGGCTTGAGAGTATACATGTACATGACGCCAATGGGCATGACTCTGTGTAAAGTCAACTCGGTAAAAATAGTAAAGTCTGTCCTGAGCCAATATGGCCCATGAGGCCGGCGTTTATCTCCGGTTTCAGTAGCATGAAAAGACTAAGACCATTTGTATTGCCCCTGGATGGGATGCCAGTCCAGCGAAGGGTACTCCCCAGCTGATGCCGGTACCCATTTATACTCCTGGGTGGTGGAGATAGGCAAATGGGAATGAAGTGGCTTGCCCAAGGA